GTGTAAGCCTTGAGTCTGATATGCCAGTGCACAATTGCCATTTTGGGGGTATGAGAAAGTGACAATTCCTCATTCTTGCAGCTCTCCTTTAGAATTAAGAGGCATTCATGAGCCACGTTTCCTGTCTCTCCACAGCAGTAGCACATCATCAACATTGGCGTCATCAACACCCTTGGCAGTATACTGACTGTGAGCGCACCTCCCCCCAGAGGTGTTTTTACACATGATTCTAATAACTTTAACTAGTAAAGTCTAATAACTAACAGAAATTATAACAAATAAAACAAGTATTAGAAATATAACAGTAATCAAGTGACAATTGTTCTTGCATAAACTAGTGCACTTATAGACTACAGTGACAGCAGTTCTCTCTCTCAAGTCAAGAGTCGGTTAACAGTTACAACTGTTCACAAATTACTAGTACACAGAACTGAGAAACACGTCTCAAACATTGTCCGTGGATAAGCTGCTGATACTACAAGCATGTGTGTATCAAGGACTTTAATGAGGGGGCATGATAAGAAAAGATGTTTGGGGTCATTCCCTGAAAATGTGTACAGTTTAACAAATTACTCCTGGAGGCATATTGAAATTCCGTTATCTCTGGAACTGAGACATATAGGGCCTTAATGAAGATGCCAAAAGGGAAGTTTGTTAAGAACCAATATCTAAAAGGACATTAAGATTTCTTTAATGCTTTGAGTTACAGGCCTGCAAACTTGAAAAGCGCTCTTTCCCCATTTTTGAATAGACACCACTGGCACATAATGCAACAAAGTTTGCTAAAGTCAACAGATTTTACTAACGGACCTACCAATCTCTGTGAAAAGAAAAAGAAAAAAAAAAACATCATGATGCTGCCATCTTTCTGAAGTCATTTTTAACCCCCTGTAATTTGGCTCTGAATTTCAGGTGAAAATGGCCATTTTGACCCCCTCTACAAAATAGTGGATAAATATTCATCCATGACATTTAATATTTTGGCTTCCATCACTATACATGTTTAACTTTCTTCAGAAAAAAATATTAGCAAAATCAAAAATTTGAGCTGGGGACCTCTGGTTGAGTCACGGAATGACCCTGCTACAAGTTTATGTCGCCATGTTACAGTTTTTCTCGATTGTTAACACACAATTCATGAAACAATTCATAATTTTCTCACAACTATAAACAATCTCAAAACTACACACCAACTTGTGCAAACTTCAAACTTCCAGGTCAAAGTCAAACATTTTAGTCAAAAACACATTCTCTTTTGTCAGACTCAAACTGGCCTCAGATGACACACAAACCTGACAAATACACATACTATTTTCCTGCCTAGAGAACACCAGTGAGATCAATTCAAAACACTGTTACAAAAACCTCCTCATGTGAATCAGGAATCCTTTTGCTAGTCAAAGTCTCTTACAGTATACAGCATAAATAGAGGGGTGCAGATACAGTAAAATTCAGCAATTAACTTTAAGAAAAGTTACTTTCATTACACTCATGTAAAGTGATCTTACAGTAGAGGAAAAGCACTAGAAGAGAAAAGTTCAAAAACCAAACAACAGAATATACAGTAAACACACATTGGAATATACTGTCAGTTACTATACAGCAATAAATAAATAGCTAACTAACTAAATAAATACAGTTTTTTTTACAATCGCTAGGACACATTTCTCACTTTTTCAAAACTCCTCACACAGCGAGCACAAATGTGGGCTAAACTGTGGATCAATTATCATTGCTTTGGCACAAAATGCATTCATTGATGACATCTATCAAATTACATGAATTCTTTTATCACTTTGACACAAACACCACCAAAACTTTATGTACTATACAAGCCAATTTGCACGTTTACATACTGTTTTCAAAACTGTTAAACTTAAGTTCAAAAGCACAGTACAAAAATGAATAAGAGAAATTTGCAACATTTCTACAGTAATATCATATAGAAAAATATTCTGAAGGTAAAAAAATCAAATACTATCAAAGCAGTTGCATATAGCTGAACATATGTGTTACTTAGTCTTTCACTTTCATTACCATCTATACAAAAGGGGAAAGCTTAGAAATAAATTTGTACTATAATGTAAACATGGACAATGTAACAGGCAGTGAATTATAAACAGTAGAGAGCATCATTCTTTTTTTTTAAAGAAATTTTACAAAAGAAAAACATTGTATAATGCTACCTGTTGTTAGTGTTTTTTAGGTTGTTGTGTTCTGAGTGATAAAGTATGTTTGTTTGGTGAAAACCTTTGCTAGAGTTATGTAAGAATGAGTTGATTTGAGGCATTAATGAAGTGTTTTGGTAGTTGTAGTACATTTTGAATGTGAAATGAACTGCTGTGTCAAGTTGAAAGATGTTTAGGAGAACTGTGTGAAGAGATTTGAAAAAGTGAATTTAGTATTGAGAAATGTGTCCTAGTGATTGTTAAAAAAACTGTAAATTCAACATCCAAGTTGCATTACAGTATTGGTAATATCCTTATTTGTTATACTATAGCAGTTTATTAGTCTTCTGACAAAATACTTTTTCTGCCTCCCCTAGACAGTCGACTCTTAGTTCTGCACAAATACAGTAATTCTACTTATTATCTAGGGTATAGGTCAGCTCATATTTAGTTAGCAGGGCTGCATGAAATTGCCAAGTGATTTTTTTATCAGCACGTGCTATTAATATTTTCAGTATAAAACACCAAAAAGTATCATCGTCACCACTGTAAAAGCATA